TGCCGCCAGAGATCTGCCTAGCACCCTCACTGGGTGTCTTTAAGAGTCAATTAAAAACTTGGCTCTTTAGGCAGGCCTTCCCTCCCGCCAATTCTTGATTGTATTTTCTTGCTTTTGTTATTTATTCTCCCATCTTGATCATATTATTATTGTAGTTTTTAATTGTTGTTTTTATTTGTTTGATGTTGTGAGCTGCCCTGAGTAGACTTTTGTCTAGAAGGGCGGGATATAAATCCAATAATAAATAAATAAATACAATGAAGAAGAATCACATTTATTATTTGGACCCAATAGGAACATTGTTATGGCCATAAAAGCTTCTTTTCTACACTAAAATGAGTTACATTTCTTATGGAATAAACTGAATAACAGATAAATAAGTTTCTTTCCTTATAGTGAAATGTGAACATTTATACCATAGTTGAATACTTCTGAATAGATAAGGTATGTAAAGAATATTTTCCAATTTTGTTTAATATCACAGTTTGATGTGATAGGTTTGGACACTGTGTTTCATCTTAGTCATTTATATTCATATGTCTCTACCTAAGCTCAGTGTAAATTCAATTTCCCCATGAAAATATATATTGACATGGCTTACAACTGGATTAGATAAATGGGGACCATGGCGCTGAGATGCCCCTAAGGTCTGGCAATTATCAAAGCAGCTCTCTTCTATAATGAAGACTTCCCTATTAATAGTTTTAGATTTTCACGAGCAAAATGCTGCGACTTAAGTATTTTTGTCATGTGGCAGCTGCAAGTTAAAGTTGTTCAGGCATCCTTGATGTGAAGCTAAAAAGGAGGAAGGAACAATGTTCATAGACATGAAATAAATGAAGAAATCAACTACATTACTTGTGAAGATGGAGAAAAAAGATTAATTTGATTTACATCATATTAAGTTAGGCTCCAGAGTTCTCTGCAGAATAAAGCAAAAGTTTCGCCAACAAAACATGCAGTGATGTTTGCAAAATTAACAATTGCAATATGGACATCAGAAAAGCCATAGCAGATGAATTCAGAGACCTATCTGGGCAAGCATTCTGTTCCCACAATGGCTAACCAGATGCCCATGGGAAGCCCAGAACAGGACATTAGTTCAACAAGCCACACTAAATGCTTTCCACAGCAGAAAAACCACTGGAACTTGACCGACCAGAGTCACTCACACTCCAACTGTTTAAAGGAAAAGAATTCTCACAGGGAAACTGGCTTTTCTGCTTTGTGTGGCTGGCCAGAGGAGCAATCCACTGGAAGCCAACAACAGTAAGAAAGCAGTGTTCGAAGGAGCTGCAGTGCTCAAGGGCTGTGGCCACAGATGACATCATACAACTTTGGGATGCTATGGTTCTCCTTAGCCACACATGTGCAGAGTGAGAGAAGTGTCCTTCATTCTGGTATCTCTAGTTTCCATGAAACATCTGCAAAGAACATGAGGAAACATGGTTCTCCAGCCTGCCATTAAGTATTTGGAATACTAATTTGTATCAGGTTAGCCACAATAAAAATGTAGGATCTATGGAATGAGACAAAAACCTTCTGCATGTATTTATTTTAATCTATCGAAGTAAAACCTATCATCTGCTACAAGTAAAAATCCTGGAAGCACATGGATCATTTTTAGAAATCTTACCTATATTGTCACTTTCAAACAGTATTCTCTGTGTAGGCAAAAGAGATTGATCCTTCATAACAATGAAGCAAAAGCCTTTTTTGTTTGTAGGTATATGTATATTTCATTTAATAATGGTATTTTTTTCCATGAAGAAAAAGACATGGTAGAAAATGTGTGTTAGCTTACATGCCTTACAAGTATCTCGAGTGATCCATACCTTTTCTTATCTCAGTTATTTTGTTAGTGCAGCATGTGTGCAATGAACATAGTCAGAAATGAGTTGTTGCTTTAAACAGTACCAATGCAGTAATTAATGCGGTAAATACAACATTAGTCCTCCTTAACATTACTCTTTACCTACAATAGACCCAGTTAAATCAACAAGACTCAACTCAGTGGCAATTCTAAGCAGGTCCTGTTATTACAACTGCTCATTTTAAGTTACTAATACTAAGTGCCTGCACTGCATTGTTGATACAAATTCTAAAAGCTTAACACTGCTACTTTACATTTTAAGTAGCATGAGCCCTGCCAGCTGCCAGCCATTGCTGTCTTGATGGGGCGCCCCTCTTACCTTAACTTACTTTAGCTTACCTCAGAACTACAGTGCTGGAAGTGACTCTACGGGATCATCGAGTACAGCTCCTGTCAGGGAGGCACAGTGGGGAATGGAACTTCCAACCTCTGGCTCCTCAGCCAGATGCCTAAACCACTGAATTACCCAACAGTTCTATCTATTGTTCCATAAATCCACAACACCAATGGTCAGTTGGGTTTATTGGAACTAGGAGTAGGGTAACAGACAATATATATACAATAGGTTCAAAATCCTCGGTCCTCGTTAACTGAACTAGTCCAAAGTCCACCAAAGTCTTGGGCTTGTCCTTTAGGGGTTCTCCTCATAAATGTAATCCCACTCCCCTGTGGGCTCCAGTTCCTTCTCTGTGGATTCTTCTGCCCATTCTGGACCACTCTTCCTGAGTGTCTCCCGAGGCTCCTTCATCAAGACTGTCCTCCTGCTTCCCAAGCACTTCTTGTTCCTGTTCCCTGGGTTTCTCAGCTATACCCCCATCCTTTTCCCCAGGGGTCTCTGGCTTCTGCTCCCTGGGTGTGTTGGTCTGGCAGCCAGCCTCCTGGCTCTGAAGTCCCCCTCCCACTGGCAGCAAAGCAGTTTTTATAGCAGCCATCTACCAGGGATTTCCCTCCTTTCTCCTAGGGGTCACTCCCAACCCCCATAGCCATAACCGCCACCAGCATCTTTGTGCCCCACTCTCTTGGGAGTGACTTGGCTTCTGCCTCTCTTGGTCTGGCTGGTTCAGAACATGACAGCTTGCTTACAAGAGCATCTTATCCTCCTCATACAAGAGTAATGGTTCTGACAACTGTCTCATGATTATCCTGATTAACATAGCCAGAACTCACCTTTAATCCTTTGCTTCTTTGGATCAAAATGCTAAAAGGCATTCCCTAGTCCCTCTCCAGAACTCCTTGAACTCTTTAATGACTTTTACCTGGCCATGTGGTTTGTTATTTATTCCTCTAAGTGTACAATCACATAATCCAAGTACTTTGTCAAGACAGTTGTTTTTACTCTGATTTACATGATGCAAAATTAAAGTGGTTGCTACTCTTGAACAATCTGTGATCTTGGAAATACATCCACTCCCACGTTTCTGTTCCTTTTTCCAGTTAAGCAAAAGTGTGTGTACACACACACACCAGTCACTAAGTGCTTTCTATGTTGGATTTGTGTAGCCTTCGTTATTTGACCCCACCATTTACAAAAACACACTTTTCCATTTCCTCCTTGGGGGCGTATGTTTCTGTTTTCATCTTAAAAGCCTTGCAACACTGAACTCTAGAAACAAAATGTGTGTGTGTGAATGATCTCATTTTCACAGCAATGGTTTTCTTGAGAGAGAGAATGACTTGCATCGGGTGCCAAAGCATGTGTCAGGCATTTAAAACGAGTTTCCTTCCTGTTCTTGTTAAGAGTCATGAATTCAGGGTCTGTATACATGTATTTTAAACCTCCTCCCTTGTTGTGCAGTGTTTTCAAAAAATATGAAGGCCACAGTTTCACAGCCTACTGACAATTTCTCCTTGGAGAGGGCAGAAGAAATGGTCCATTGCAGGCAGACTGAGCCTCTCCGGCTTTGTCATGTGGAACACTTGCCTCTCCCCACCAACCCCAGCTGTTACCATGGTGACTAAGCTGTGCTGGTTGATCTGGCTCTGAAGGTTCCCAGTGCCAAACAAGAAGTCCATCAAGTGTGTGTCGATGGAGGAGGGGGAATGAGAAGGCGCAGGAAGGCAAAGGGGAGGAGAAAAACACTTGCTTTAATGGTTCTTTAATTGTATGGATTTCCAGCCAGTACACTTCCAAAATATAAAACGGTAAAGCAGTAATAGATAATTTGCACCTGTCAAAGTACAAAGCTGATCCTAGTTCATCCAGTTTGTAATTTCCGGCTATTCAGATGCTTTTAAGAATTGGCAATAACAGGCTGATGGGTCCTGTGCTCAATTACCATCATTTGCATATCTACACAGAATGTACATCTATAACCGGACATTAAGGGACACCCTTTTAAAATAAATTCACATTTGTTTTGTTTTTCACCTAGACATTGCAAGGCAAAGTTTCAGGTTACCCAACACAGATTCTATTGCCATGTCCCTGATGGAATTTCACAGTTTGCTACATTAAGAGGGAAAGGGAGGGGGGGAATTGCTCACAGCTGCAGAAGCTTTAGAAAAAAGAATTTCCTTCAAGAATAAGCCACTAACCCTATGCCACTAGCAGAGAATGAACACTATTGCAGATGTTTTCACTAGGAATAGCATCTGAAGAATAGAGCAAATTTACATTTTAAAGAGTCTGCTCCGGGTCAAACTTGATATTACATACATACATGTTTTAACATTGGCCTTATGGTCATTTTCATAAAGCTGCGTGAATATGTGTGTATGAGAGAGAGAGATTCCAAAACCTTTTACCTGTTCATAATTTCTTGCTCCAAAAATCACTTTTAAGCAAATCCCTTGACTTTTAAATGTATATTTCCCATTTCCCAAATCTGGAGTCCTGTGGAGGAAAACCTACTTGAAAGGTTTAAAGTGAGAAAATGTGGTCAGGGTGGGAGTAAGGAAAGGTTAAGGAGTACTTCGGACCCAATTTATTTTCCTGCTTTAAAAAGTACCATCAGCCTAACATTACGTATTGCATCTAGTTCTTACATTCACAGTAGAGAAAATCCTAAACAGTAACAATAAAATTATACTTTGTCAATATTTTACTAGTAATTTACCCATGCTGGTAATATTTTTCAATAATATAATTAATTGCAACAGCATTAGTGGTCATTAAAGGTGAACTTACGGATCAAAAGCAGCCAGCAAGAAGTTGAGCAGCAAACTGATGGATTGTTCTACATTGATCTGGTGGGTGGTTGGCATACGCTTATTAAGTTGATAAAAAACGGTGGACAATACTGCTTCAAGTCGAGCCACATTCAGCTCTATGTTCGGATCCATGTTATTCAATGAATTTTCCCGCAGTGCTTCTATTACATTCCAAATATCCACAAGGTGCACTATGAATAATATAAACATAATAATCAAAGTTCTCAAAATAGCTACAAAATGTTTCTGTCTCAGGTCACAGTATTTTCATATGCCATATACTTTAACTTTCAGGACTATACAGAAGTATAAAATTCTATGTGAGTGATAGCTTTGCTGAAACTATGCATTATATAAAGCAAAATGTAAAAAACTTTTCAATTTCAGTCTTAAGCAAATCTCAGAACTAAAATCCAGTAAGTCCTAACAGGCCATACTGGCTTGTCACCCTTTGACATTTCAAATCCACAAACCTGTCCCTTTAAAATGCTACTCTGACATGCAACAAACCCTATGAGATGATCCAAATTCAAGATAAATGACTCAGGACTGAATTGACACAGGAGCCCTTGGGATCTTGCACATCAAAGTGCAGGAATCTCCTTTTCTATATGTCTCCCAATAGTATCTGGTATTGCATTGAATGTGACAGCTTCAAAATATGAAGAGCAAGGTGTGTCTGGAGCAGAGATCTTAGCAAAAGAACTGTGTGCATGAAAGGGATTGTGTACTCTTCTTCTACTTTCTATTCCAAACTCTCCCCTTCCTTAGAAGAAATAGTTGTTTTATTGCAAGGATTTGTGTGTTAACATGTATCTCATCTCTCAGGTACCTGTTAATGTCAGAGCAATAGCCCTTATTAATATTGAAATTAGCATCGGGGTATGACTCAGTCCTGACTGAAATTGACCAATTTTATGAAGATTTACAACACCTTCTAGAACTGACACCAAAGAAAGATGTTCTTCTCATTCCAGGGGACTGGAATGCTAAAGTAGGGAGTCAAGAGATAAAAGGAACAACAGGGAAATTTGGCCTTGGAGTTGAAAATGAAGCAGGGCAAAGGCTAATAGAATTTTGTCAAGAGAACAAGCTGGTCATCACAAACACTCTTTTCCAACAACATAAGAGGCGACTCTATACATGGAAATCACCAGATGGGCAATATCGAAATCAGATTGATTGTGTTCTCTGTAGCCAAAGATGGAGAAGCTCTATACAGTCAGCAAAAACAAGACCTGGAGCTGATTGTGGCTCTGACCATCAGCTTCTCATAGCAAAATTCAAGCTTAAAATGAAGAGAGTAGGAAAACCCACTGGGCTAGTCAGGTATAATCTAAACCAGTGGTTCTTAACCTTTGTTACTCGGATGCTTTTGAACTGCAACTCCCAGAAACCCCAGTCAGGACAGCTGGTGGTGAAGGCTTCTGGGAGTTGCAGTCCGAAACTCCTGAGTAACCCAAGGTTAAGAACCAGTGATCTAAACCAAATCCCTTACGAATACACAGTGGAAGTGAAAAACAGATTTAAGGAACTAGATTTGGTGGACAGAGTGCCTGAAGAACTTTGGATAGAGGCTCGTAACACTGTACAGGAGGCAGCAACAAAAACCATCCCAAAGAAAAGGAAATGCAAGAAAGCAAGGTGACTGTCCAACGAGACCTTAGAAATAGCAGAGAGGAGAAGGGAAACAAAATGCAAGGGAGATAGGGAAAGTTACAGAAAATTGAATGCAGACTTCCAAAGAATAGGAAGGAGAGACAAGAGGGCCTTCTTAAATGAACAATGCAAAGAAATAGAGGAAAAGAACAGAAAAGGAAAAACCAGAGATCTGTTCAGGAAAATTGGAGATATTAGAGGAACATTTTGTGCAAAGATGGACATGATAAAGGATAAAAATGGGAGGGACCTAACAGAAGCAGAAGACATCAAGAAAAGGTGGCAAGAATACATAGAGGAATTATACCAGAAAGATTTGAATATCCTGGACAACCCAGATAATGTGGTTGCTGACCTTGAGCCAGACATCCTGGAGAGTGAAGTCAAGTGGGCCTTAGAAAGCATGGCTAACAACAAGGCCAGTGGAGGTGATGGCATTCCAGTTGAACTATTTAAAATCTTAAAAGATGATGCTGTTAAGG